GGATCCTGAAAAAAAAAGGTAAACGTTTATGGACAATGGCGGCTCGCCCTAAATGTGTTGGTGGCTCAGCGACCGTAAATTCCAAGAGATCAAAAAAACTTCATCAATAGTAGTGATAATAATAAAATGTTATTCACAGATAAATTATCGTTCAAATGGTGAAAGAATTTTTAAAATAGGCCCAGTAGTTTTTGAGTGAATCGAATATATCCAAAAATATAAATCTTTCTCTCTATAACATTAGCATATAGATAAATTAGCTCGAGGCAAATTAAATAATTATTTTCGGTGTCAAGTAGTATCAAAGTTCGTTTTGTCTTACTCACGGCGCCTCCGGCTCATTTAGTATGAGAATAAAGACAAGAAAATACTGGCACATGAAACGAAACTTGTCTAGTACAAAACCTATTGCGAGAGCTTGGATTTTGGATTTTGGTCGGTATTCCATGAATATTGTTTAAAGTACCAACTATGCGCACTACCTATGACCTACAAGCCGCCACTGGTTATTTAATCTTTATTTACTTATTATGTCTAGCTATTTAAAGATTCTTACATCAAACTCTTCTTCTGTTGGATAGAAGGTGGGTGCATAACTTTGTGTTCCAGTAAATATTCCCGCTCTCCTTTGCACACTCGGGCTATTTTGGTCGGTTGGTTGTAGTTCTGACCTATTCACACTAGGATTAACTAAAAAAAACAATACTAATTAATAAAAAAGTAGTAAAGTCATATTAAAAATATAATGTGGTAATGAAAATCTGTTTATCAAGGAAAAATAACTTGGAGGAAAACTACAAACTAACCTTGAGAAGTGGAAGGCAAAGGATTTTCGGTTGAATGAGTTGTGACTCTTTTAGTGTTGCTGGCAGAATCTGATGAAGTAACAAAAAAACAGTATTTTAACACATAAACTAACAAACAGTTATTTAGGTTTGTAAATTATAAAGATCACCACTTACTTGCAGATTTTAACCCTGTTGTCTTTTTAGGTGGATTTTTTTTTGTTTTTTTAGTGATAAGGGAAGTTGCTTCTGTTGAGTAAAATATAACTATTAGTTTCATCACATTTTTTAACAACAGGTAAACCTATGTAGACCATAAACGGGACCCGTCAATTTAACGGGTTTCAAACTTTGAAATGAATCATGCAAAGGTACTTGCATTAATCTTAACTGATTTGCATCGTAAAATTTATCGTAAAATATCAATGAAAAAAAAAAACGTTTACAAATAACATGTGAAAGATTTAGACAATTTATAAAGCTATTTTTTGTTAAGATAAAAACATATGTAATATTTAAGAAATGCCAAATTTCATCGAGATCCGTTCATCCATTTTGGATACAAACTCTAATAAACAAACATCCATCCGTCCATCCATCTAAACATTTGTATCTATAAAATTAATATGATTAAGGTGAGATATTAAGATTGAGATAGTAAAAAGTAAGAAGTAAGATATGCAATATTCTTACCTTTATTTTTTACTGATTTTTTGCCAGATGTTGAAGGTTGGCTAGTAGACATATCCAGCATCTCGGTATCTAAAATGTCCAAATAATAATTAAAAAAAAGCATTTCAATCTACCTTACATTATAAATCCAAAAGTTTAGATGGATGGCTGTTTGCTA